GACTATCGACTAGATAAAGACGCATTTAGTTGTTATATTACGTTTGTTACGTTTGTAAATTCTCAAATATCTTGATTTTTCATAAACTCGATAATTATTACATTTTTGTTTATGGTTATGTTTTCCCTATAATAACGATAAATTAAATCTTAACAATAATATAAATTATTTTTAACTACATTTCAAATCTGTCAGCAAAATCCTCTTGCTTTGTTCTGATAAAAATGATAAAATGGTTTGCGAGACACCCAAAACCGATACAATTTCTGTTTCAACTCAAACCAATAATATCTGAATTCATGACACCTACTAGATTTTCTTATCGGTTTCAATTCTGATTCGACAACTATCAGATTCTGCAACACCCTGATTGCTTAACTTTAAGACAGGCATTTTGCTATATGCCCAAAATAAGTCGCATTCTAAACATAGATACCACGTCTGTCTTCCTCATCTGCTTCAAAGTTGTTTAAAAAGTGCGCGTGGTTTGCACTTGGTGGCGCTTCTGCAAAATTCTTAATCAATTGATTCCTTTCTCTTCTCTCATTCTCTTTTACGCTTTTCAACATTTTTATTGCTTTCAAAGATGCTTTATAATACGATATTGTTAATACCATTGGTACTGATCGTTTGCCTCTGAAGCTGGTAGTTTTTCTATAGGTGTAGTGAGATATCTCAGGTGTGACAATTTTCATGTTGATTTCATTGTACTGGCGTTGCATCTAAACTGCTTTCTCCTTTAATTGCGCATCTTCTACCTAATTTTCTTGGTTTAGCAGAAATCACTTTCTTGGAATATGTTTTCTTAAATGGATAAATAACTTGTGTATTTAAATGTTTAGCTATCTGTGTTTGTACCTAAGATTGGTTTTAAAGAATCAATAACATCAAATTGAGTCACTTTCGTGCCTTGTTCTTGCATAAATCGTCTTCACATCATTGTAATAGGTTTTAAGAGGACTTGTAAAAGCTTTAGATAAAGCTAAGGATTGCATTTATATGTGCAATGAAATAACAATGATAAGATAACGCCATTTTTGCGGGCCTTATCAAAATAAGCAGAATGGTGTTTCGCGCTTTTTGCTATATTATTACATTACATTTCAGTATTGTTATTTGAATAATGAGCATGTTTTATTGAACAAAACGCAAACAATTTAACAAAATTAAGATTTACCATATTTTTATTAAATTAGTAGTTATAACGTTTTATTATATGTTTCAAAATAATATGTGTGTACAAATAGTTAACGCCTTACCCATCAGGTATAGGCCAAAGCAATATAACAAAAATTTATTTATTCATCACTTTCTGTCTCTGATATATTAGATTCTGCGTTGGATCAGCTGGTAGTGGCATTATTTATTGTTTCTACAATAATGATCTTATCTTCAACGTTTTATTTTGTTTGTCTAATCCTGTTTATAGTAGATTTGAACTCAAAAATAGTCTATTGTAAATATCAAGGTTGTCAATGCCCGTAGCATAATTTCCCGATAGAACCGAAATGCTTATTTTGTGCCTTGGCTCCTGCTCCGACAATTGTCCTGTTGGCAATAATGCATTTTAATATATTTTCACATTGGGATTCAAAAGAGTCTCATAATAGTTTATTGAGCAATACGTAACTATCAATACATCAGCAGAATCCAATGCACAACGTACAACTGTCGCTTAGTGCCGTTTCAGACAGGGACGCAAAAGAGTCTCATACCAGTTTATAGTGGGTGAGGGGATGACGAGGAAAGACGAAGGGACCGTGCCACTCGTGTTCGGGTGGCACGCTTTGTGTTCTTTTTCGTAACAGCTCGCTGCTACCCTTTTCAGCATTCCTTTTCACTTTCAAATCCTTTGAATGGTTGCAAGAGCGCTCGGTTTCAAATGAATTCGATCGCAAATTTGAGTTCTGTTATCTATTTTTGTATGTAATATGCAAATATGTATGCATAGAATAATAGAAATATTATGACAAATTGTAAATAAGGAGAAAATTAAGATATAGATTATGGAGTAAAGAAATTATGAATTTTTAATACGCAGTAAAGAAATTATGAGTTTTTAATACTTAAAGTTTAGGAAATTCCTATTATAAATTTGGCCTTGAAAATATTAATAGCGGATATTCAATACATTCTTGTGGATTAGGGAATTCCCGTTTTTAGTATTTTTTTGAAACTATTTAGCGGGTAGGTACTTGTATTATGCATATTGTTCTACCATATTCATGGTAATTCATTGCAAGCAAAATGTGTGACCATCATCTCAACATACAAATGAAATACGCAGCAAGCAGTGTTGCGCGGTGTTGCGCAGTCGAACCGCACAAATATTTACGAACATTTTGTGAAAAGGAATGCAGAAAAACTAGACTCGAGTTGCTGGACTCTTTTTGACCGTGTGAATGCCCAGAGCGACACCAAAAGAAAATTTGAAAAAGATCAGACTCTTTTGCATCCCTGTCTGAAACGGCACTTACGGGTGCTGTGGGAAGTTATTCTACTTTAGCGTCCGCATAATGTGCCACAAGACTTGCATACAGTATTTTTATCTCGTTAACAATGCTCAGTAAGACAAAATAAGTAGTAAAGGGGAAATGTTTGGTGCTTAACCTCGCACCGGTGTCATAAATGAAGAGCAGTTTGCAATCATAGAAACCAAAGATTTGTTCAAGCTTAAATGTTTTATAATAATTTAGGTAACAGTTTTACTGTGGATTATATTGCTCTGCGAGGATTTTTGATAAAACTACATATATTTATTGTCTAGGGCTTAGAGCAATAGAAGTGATTTTACTACGTGTCCCTGAACCAAATATTATATATCACATCATCAACAAATGTGAAGACTTTGTTTTTTGAAATCTAAACTTTTAATAATTAATCCACGATAAGATAATAATTCATTAGCCTCAATACCACGTTTTTATTTTAGGAAGTAGCAAGAAATCGCTCTTAAATTATATGTTCTTATACATTTGTGGCAGTGTTCATTATAACCTATAATTTGTAATAGATCTATAGATATCTCTACGTCATCTTCATCTAAATTGAAGCG